TTTGTTTTTTTTTTTTTTTTTTTTTTTTTTTTTTTTTGATTAACGGACATCCTGACAGATATAAGCGGTATCTCTTTGTGATTTGCTTTTTCATGTCCCAGATGAATAGAGATCACCTTTTCCTACAGCACACGTTGGTTGTCTGTCTTTTTTAGAGTCCTCCTGCTTCTCTTAAGTGAATATGAGCATCATTTTCTCTTGAATGAGGCACTGTGGCCCCACATGGGTTCAGTGTCTTTCCTGCTACCACCCAGGCCTGGAGAGTTCTCTATCTGTCTCTGTCCGCCATGCGGAAGAGTTCCAAGAGGGCAGGTGTCTGAGATGCGGTGGAAAGCCACTGTCCAGAACTTGGTTATCTCCTGTGGCACAGGGAAAGACTGAGGGGTTCGGTAACTAGTGCAGGTTTGGTTTGTGCCTTCAGAATTCTCTTCAGTGCAGACACATAGCATTTTAAGGGTGCCATATGCCTTATGATTCTAGCAAGCTGCCTCTTTCTTACACGTTCTGTCTGATGAAAAAACAAAATACTTAACCTCAGGGCCAGGATTTACCTAAGTGGTGCCACTGTCTGCCTTGCAAACACAAGGTTCCAAGTTCAATCCCCAGTACAAAAAAAAAAAAAAAAAAAAAAAAAAAAACTAACATCAGATTTTTACTGACAAATATTTTCAACATAAATGTTTTATCATGTTGGTCTACTGTTTCTCCAGGTACTATTGCATTTACATAAGATTAAGCCTGTTAGTCCAACAAATAGAGTTTTTGTCTAAGAGAAAAAAGAAAAACTCTCTGGGCCAGGGATTTAGCTCAGCGGTGCTGCCACCTGCCTCACAAGCACGAGGTCCTGAGTTTGATCCCCAATACCATAAAAAAAAAAAAAGTAAAACCCCTCTAACATTATTCACGTGAAACTCATTCAGGAGATCAGTGGGATAGAAAGGTTGCCTTTCCACAGGGGAGGGCTGGGCTTTCCCCCTGACCGATCCAAACTCACAGCAATCACAGCACAAATCATAGGCTGAGTGTCTGCGTTTTAGCTGCCAGTGACATTGAGGGGTCAGATGACCGCTCCGTGTGTGTGTGTGTGTGTGTGTGTGTGTGTGT